TATTATTGTTCAAAAGTTTGTAATGGTCTTTTATTATCCATGAATGAGTGAGATCATGTGGTATTTTTCCTTCATGGACTGGCTTATTTCACTTAGGCATAATGCTCTCCAGTTCCATCCATGCTGTTGCAAATGGTAAGAGTTCCTTCTTTTTTACAGCAGCATAGTATTCCATCGTGTAGATGTACCCACAGTTTTCTAATCCATTCATCTACTGATGGGCACTTAGGCTGCTTCCAGATCTTAGCTATGGTGAATTGTGCTGCTATGAACATATGGGTGCATATATCCTTTCTGATTGGTGTTTCTGGTTTCTTGGGATATATTCCTAGAAATGAGATCACAGGGTCAAATGGGAGTTCCATTTTTAGTTTTTTGAGGAAACTCCATACTGTCTTCCATAGTGGCTGCACCAGTCTGCATTCCCACCAGCAGTGCATGAGTGTTCCTTTTTCTCCACATCCTCTCCAGCACTTGTCGTTTGTGGATTTGTTGATGATAGCCATTCTGACAGGTGTGATATGGTACCTCATTGTTGTTTTGATTTGCATCTCTCAGATGATTAGTGACTTTGAGCAAGTTTTCATATGTCTCTTGGCTTTCTGAATGTCCTCTTTTGAAAGGTGTCTATTTAGGTCCTTTGTCTATTTTTTGATTGGATTGTTTATCTTCCTTTTGTTAAGTTGTATGAGTTCCCTATAAATTTTGGAGATTAGGCCCTTATCAGATATAACATTGGCAAATATGTTTTCCCACGCAGTGGGCTTTCTTGTTGTTTTGTTGATGGTTTCTTTTGCTGTGCAGAAGCATTTTATTTTGATGTAGTCCGATTTGTTTATTTTCTCTTGAGTTTCCAAAGCCCTAGGAGCTGTATCGATGAAGAAATTGCTTCGGCATATGTCTGAGATTTTGTTGCTTTTGGATTCTTCTAGTATTTTTATGGTTTCCCGTCGTACAATTAAGTCCTTTATCCATTTTGAGTTTTTTTTTAAATATATTTTATTGATTTATCACAGAGCGGAAGGGAGAGGGATAGAGAGCTAGAAACATCAATGAGAGAGGAACATCGATCAGCTGCCTCCTGCACACCTCCTACTGGGGATGTGCCCTCAACCAAGGCACATGCCCTCGGCAAGAATCGAACCCGGGACCCTTCAGTCCGCAGGCCAACGCTCTACCCACGGAGCCAAACCGGTTAGGGCTTGAGTTTATTTTTGTGTATGGTGTAAGTTGGTGGTCTAGTTTCATTTTCTTGCATGTATTTGTCCAATTTTCCCAACACCATTTATTGAAGAGACTATCTTGACTCCATTGTATGTTCTTGCCTCCTTTGTCAAATATTAATTGAGCATATTGGTTCGGGCTGATTTCTGGGCCCTCTATTCTATTCCATTGATCTATATGTCTGTTCTTGTGCCAATACCAGGCAGTTTTGAGAACAGTGGCTTTGTAATACAGCTTGATATCTGGTATTGAGATCCCACATACTTTGTTCTTCTTTCTCAGGATTGCTGCAGCTATTAGGGGTCTTTTTTTATTCCAGACTAGAGGCCCGGTGCACAAAAATTTGTGCACTCGGGGGGGAGAGGGGGTCCCTCAGCCCATCCTGTGCCCTCTCGCAGTCTGGGACCCCTCAGGAGATAATGACCTGCTGGCTTAGGCCTGTTCCTGGGTGGCAGAGGGCAGGCCCAATCCCTAGGTGCAGCCCCTGGTCGGGCTCAGAGCAGGGCTGATTGGGGAGTTGGGGCGCCGCCCCCTGTCATGAACAGAGCAGGGCGGATCGGGAGGTTGTGATGCCACCCCCAGTCACGCTCAGGGTAGGGCTGATTGGGGGGTTGGGGCACCGCCCTCTGTCACACTCAAGGCAGGGTCGATAGGGAAGTTGCGGCGCCACCCCCTGCCATGCACAGAGCAGGGCCGATCAGGGGTTGGGGGTGCTGCCCCCTGCCATGCACAGAGCAGGGCCGATCAGGGGGTTGGGGCGCTGCCCCCTGTCACACACAGAGCAGGGACCATCAGGGGGGTTGGGGCGCTGCCCCCTGTCACACACAGAGCAGGGCCCATCAGGGGTTTGGGGAGCTCCCCCTTGTCATGCACAGAGCAGGGCTGATCAGGGGGTTGGGGAGCTGCCCCCTGTCACACACAGAGCAGGGTCAATCAGGGGGTTGAGGAGCTCCCCCCTGTCACGCACAGAGTAGGGCCAATAGGGGAGCTGGGGCACCGCCCCCTGTCACACACAGAGCAGGGACTCGTGGGGGGGGGGGGGTGGTAAATTAGGGGGCCACATCCATGTTAAAATTTTGGCTGTCACACTCAGGGCAGGCCGATGGGGAGGTATGGCTCTACCCCATCTCACATAGAGCAGGGCCCGTGGGGGGGTTGGGGCGCCGCCTCCTATCACCCACAGAGCAGGGCCGATCAGGGGGTTGGGGCGCTGCCCCCGTCCACACACAGAGCCGCAGGCAAATCAGGGGGGTTTGGGGCGCTGCCCCTTTG